AGTCAGAATTCTGAGAAAAAAGTCTGAATTCTGAGATTAAAGTCAGAATTCTGACTTTACCATATTATACTGAAATAAAATTAAAAAATCAGTTAACTTTTTTTTTTTTCCAGTGGCTCTAATCATCTTCCGTAGATTAAAGCCAAATTTATTAAACGCTGTTGCTTTAAAGTGACATTTTACCACTAGGTGGAGCTGCAGCGCACGACAAGTCCCCCCTCTCTCTACCTCCACCCCAGCTGGAGTTTAGAGTCCTTGAAGCTGCCTGCTGCTCCCTCATCTACCTCCTCTCCTATTTTTAGTGTGTAGCCTAGTAGCTGCGCTCCAGTTGGACCAATGAACAGACTCTCCTCCGTCTGTGTTTACCTGCAGGCGGACCCGGTTGATGTACGTTGACCCCATGACCCCGATCAGTGCACCGAGCACAGAGCCGATGATGGACCAGTTCTTGGTGCGCTCCGCTCTCGTCCTCTCCTTCTCGTGGCTCTCTCGAACCGCCGCCGAAAACAAGGCAAACTTTTCCCTCTCCAAACTCTCTGCGCTCTCGTAGGCAGTCCGGAGACGGCGTTCCTCCTGCAGTCGGGAGGAGAAAAAGCCAGCAGTTAGCGCAGCTTTTTATCCATAGGCTTTCATTTCTTCTGATTTGATTTAAACTCAGACGACCAAAACTACTGAAATAAATATATATAAAGTATTAACTGATGTCGGTATTTTAGTAATCGATTAATCTCTTGACAATTTTTTCGATTAATAATCGGACGGCCAAAGGTTTCTTAAAGAAAACTTTTTATCAAATCAAATCGGTTTTTTACTTGATGTGTTCTGGATGGAGCAGATTTACAGAAGAAAAAGTTGTTTTTTTATCTTAAAAGCAAAATATAAATTTTTTTTACAATCTTGGTACATGCTGGTGATGATTCTCAATCATTCAGGTCATAGTCATTCCAAAAAAGGTAACAAATAAACCACTGGACTTTGTTTCCAAGTTTGAAGACGTTACGTTTCCCACCCAGGAAGCTTTTTCAATAAAGTGGGAAGGTGAGTTTCCAGCCGCGCTTCTTCTGCTCTGACCTGCAGCAGCTTGTGCTCCATGGTGGCCAGCTCCAGGTAGTGAGCCTCCTCCCTGGAGACTCTGTCCAGCCGGTCCCTGACCTCCTTCAGCCGGCCCTGCAGGTCCTCCAGGCTGGTGTGCGCCTCACGGACAATCCCTCTGGCCACCATGAACGCGGATTCCGCCTGAAAGAACACACATCTGTCATGCAGACGTTAAAACGCCCAATAAAACGAGATTTCTGCTGGAGTCAAACTGTTGGAGGACGACTGTTCTCGCTCTCCTGACCTCGGTGACTTTGGTTTGAGCCTCGCGGACCTCATTGAGCCCAACAAACTCCTCGTATCTCCCCCACCAGTAGTTCATAGTGGCGGTGGCGGTCTGCGCCGACCTCTGACTCCACTGCCGGCCCAGCTCTCCTGCATGCTGACAAAAGAAAAAAAACAAGGTTGCGCTAAAAGTTGCTCTGATGATCTGTGCTGGATGCAGGCTGTAACCAGGACAGTGTCCAGTGGAGTGTCTTTAGTACCTGCAGGGCAGACAGGGTGCGTTCTTTCACCGCCTCAGCAGCACCCTTCTGATCAAGCGAGGGTTTAGTGGGTGGAGGAGGTGGAGATGGCGGCTCAGCGCTGTAGGATCGAACCTGAGCGGCCGTCCCTGGCAGGTAGCGCCCGGTCAGACAGCATGAGCCTCGAGCCCAGAGCTGGATCTGAGCTCCTCTGTACCTGACAGAGTAAAACACCTTTCATTCATTAAATCAGTCTATTCTAGGGGTCGGCAACCTGCGGCTCTTTAGCCCCCCCCCTTGTGGCTCCCTGGAGCTTTTTCAAAAATTTATGAAAATACATTTTTATTTTTTTTTTTGTTTTATTATGGTGTGCAGGTTGCAAACAAAAATTTATGTTTTCCAATGCTTTAAACATTTGTATTAGAAATAAATGTAAACAATAATTTGCATCAAAGCCATAGAGATCAGTGATCATAACTTGGAACCAGCGTGGCGCGGTGCCAGGCAAACAAAGCTGCAGGTGTGTCTCGGACCATGGATCCCAAAGAGAAAAAAACGAGGATAGCTGATAAGAAAAGAGGATTCAAATAGGCCGACTCATTTGCTTTCATTATCAATGCTGAACGATTGCCTGCATTTTCGCTTTGTAATGAGAGGGTGTCAAAAAAAAGAGAAAAATTTGGAAAGGCATTTCCAGGGAAGGCTAAATCTGCAGCCCACCACCAAGCTGGGAGGGAGAAAAAGTGTGATTGCAGGATAAATTAGAGGAGAGCAAAGATAGATTTAAGAAGTGGATTGCATCTCCAAACTCCACTGCTGCAGCTAGTTTGGTTGCAAGGATGGAAAACCGTCCTCAGATCAAACAGGTAGAGCTCTGATGCAGGTATCTGAACTCTCTTCCATTTTTCCCCAAATCCTAAAAATTTTAATAAGACCAAGGAACGATGGTGACGGAGGATGTGGGATTTCAGGGTTAGAGAGCACAGCTCTGATGTCACTTCCTAGAAAGATTCCTTTATTGTGTTTCTATAATTTCATCATTGCAAGAAAACTTAAACCGCGCAGTGAAGGCGGTGAAGCGGCGCTCGGTGAAGCGATGCGCGATGAGAGCGTTCATAACTCCTCCCTCACCTCAGGCTGCTATGTGACATTTGCTTCAGGATAAACATTTAATCGTGAATGCTTATATATTTAGCCCATATAGTCCTTTTCTATAGTGGGATAAAACACTTAGAGCCCGTGTTGCTATACGAGGCTTATATAAGGATTTTACATTTTTGTGGCTCCAGACAGATTTTTTATTTTTTTTTTTGTCCAATATGGCTCTTTGAGCAGTTTGGGTTGCCGACCCCTGGTCTATTCTAAATGCAGTCATGTCCAAATTAGGGCAGCAACTAATTCATTATTTTGCAAATTGATTAATCTGTCGATTATGTTTTTGATTAATAATCAGACAGCAAAACGTTCCTTAAAGAAGATATTTTTAGTAACTAAACCAAGTAAACCTGAAACTTTTCAACTTGAGGAGTTCTGGATAAAACAGACAGATTAAAACCTTTTTCTTCCTAAATGCAAAATGTTGATATGTTTCTTCACTATCTTGTTTTTTTACAGTCTCTATACTTCAGTTAATGATTAATCGATTACTAAATTAGTTAATGATTATTTCAGTACTGGATTAATCTGATTCTTTCTGCCCTAGTCCAAATGTTTTTGCACAAACAGGCTCTAACCAGAGTAGAAAAAGTGGGAGGCCGCGTTGCACAACCGAGCAAGAAGATAAGTTCATTAGAGTCTCTAGTTTTGAGCCTCACAGGTCCCCAACTGGCATCTTCATTAAATAGTACCCGCAGTAGCCTGTTTGTGCTGTCCTCTGAAGGAAGTAGTACACACCGTTCTAGGAAATCTTAAATTTCTTAGCAATTTTTTGCAGCTAGAATAGTCATTTACCACATTAGCAATGTATAGAGTGAATTTCTTTAAAGTTAAGACTAGTTTAAAGTTATCTTCATTGAAAAGTACAGTGCTTTGCCTTAAAAAATAAGGACATTTCAATGTGACCCCAAACTTTTGAA